AAGTACAAAAGTATATAATTACACATTAATTGATAGGAGAAAATGGACTTATTTTTTACCTGTTTAGGTAAACATGTAAGTGGGCAAATATGAGAGGAAGAATGGAAGTATTTGGAAGAAAACATTTCTAAAACTTTCCCAAACACATTACACCATTTTTTAACGTTCTAGTTCACTACCGTTCTACTCTCAGACAGAACTTAATTTATAAAAGGAAATACACAAAACAATGATTCATGAAGCTTTAGTGTTAAGAGGGGACTAGCAATGAACCAATCCACACCCTCCACTTTACAGATGAAGTTACTGTAGCCCGGAGTGGTTGAAGGATCCACACAAATGACCCAGTAGTTCTTCTTGTAGGCATTCTATTTGTCTAATAGGCATTCACAGAATATGATTGTTCATGTGAGTCTGTATTAACTAGTGGTAAACCACTTTATGTTAAACATTTGTATATCTTCATTAAATTACACATGGACAAGTTTGATAGATCTGGTGTTGTTCAACACCTGAAAGCATTAAGACTGATAAACTTGTTCAAATTGATGCATAAAAACTTATACAACTCGCAAGCCATGTGATGGTTGACTGATGTATATACTAACATTGTGTGAAAATGCCTTTTGGATTTCATTATTATTTCTTCTGCTGCTTCCTCAGAATGTAGTATTGGACATGCATTATTACAAGCACTATGTCTATCTAATCAGCCATTGGTGTGATCACGCCAGCCATCTCCTTTCTACTGCCTTTAGACCAAGCCATTACCAAAAAATGAATTCTTAAATGTTTTTTATCGTGATTTAATACTAGCTCTATAAAGTGATCTTGAAGCTTGCATTTGTCTTTAATATCTTCTATATTTCCTTTTAAGAGTCATTGAGGGAACCAAAACTATAAAATATGATTTATGGATGCTCAATGGTTTTTATTTTATAACATCTAATCCTATTTATAACATTTTTGTAATGAACTTAGAGGACAAATAGCATCATTTTGCGTAGGTTTATATCTAAGACACAGAAAGGTCAGAGCATATTAGTGATAGAAACATCAAAGAAAGATATCTGTAGATTAATGACAAGCTTTTTTATTCTAGAAACTTTTTCTTTTCCAATAAGTATGATATTGTTGAAGTTCAATAAAGACACATTCTTTGTAGCCTTCATTTTAGTTATGTAAATAACCATTTGTAGTTTCAGCAAGATGTTAAAGGAAAAGGGTTATTAATATTATGGATATATCTGCCAATTCAAAATAATCTTGGCATTAAAGTTGTTTTTTTCAGTAATTTTCTTAGACAACACTACAATATTCAAAAACATATGGTGTTTACAATTTCTCCCACAGGCTATTTTTCCAAAATGACTTCACTGATGGGCAATCACAGGATTTTCAGGATAGATTTTCATTTTTTAAGTTTACTTCTTCTACCCCTTTTCTGATTCTTAACCCTTTGCTACTATCACATCATCCATTCACCAAGATAAGCAATGAACTTATTGTGCTGTGGGAATAGTTAAACTTGCATGTTTTCTTTCACAGTCTATGTAAAGCAGCAATGAGTTATTTGTTTTATTTATATATGCAAATGTATAAACATATATGGATATTATGTATATGTATGCATTATTCATTCTCTATATATTCTACATAGAAATAAATCTATAAATTGATATTTGTTCAAGGATTTAGAACCAATTTTACTTGTGCAGTTCTAGCACCCCATTTTAGCCATGACAACTACTCAGAACAATAGAGAAGTTTGATTAATACACTAGTTCCATTTTCACATACTTTGAGCAATAGGACATCTACAATGCCAATCTGGAGCCCAGAGCATTCTAATCAGTTGATGTATGTGGAGTAAATGCTTTGCTGACAATTGGGAAGTAGTAATTTCTAGCTATGCTTTTGTGAGCATTTACTATATCTCAGGCCCTTGAAATATAACATTAATTTTTATATTTCTTCAAGCTGGGCATTGTTGGGAACTAAGTCACACAGAAGTAAAGCCATTTGTCCACATGATACTGATACGAAGTGCTGGACCAGAATTTGAAGCTAGATCTGTCTGGCTGCAAAGATCCGATGAAGGAAACTGGGAATGATAAGCTTGTGATGGGGTATGGTGGTGATCTGTTAAGGCAGAATGTTGACCATTTCTACTACACCACTATTGATGACTAGAGTGCTGCTCTAACCTGATTAGAAGGTTGGACGATCATGTACATTTGTATGCATATGGTCCGTCCATTTGTCAGCAAGTGGGAAGGAATAGAGTGCAATTATTCCAAGCACTAGTCCTGGAGTCATTCAGATCTAGGTTGGGGCTCAAGTTATGTTGTATTCTAGTTACATGATCATGGGCAGTTACTTATCTTTAATAAGTTTCAATATTCTCATTCGCAAAATGGGCCTAGCATTAGCACTTAATAGCATGATTATTGAAATTTATTGAGATAATACACGTGAAGTCTGCTGGAAATGTTGCTTGGCATATATTAAGTAGAATAAAGGTGTATTATTAATTATTATTATGAAATGTAAAAGTTATAATATTTACTTACATACATTCAGGTAGTTACTTTAGTCACAGTCATTTAGTTACTTTATTATAACACAGAAATTATTGGTCTAAAATGTTTCTAAATGGTACAAGAGCCCACCAAATCGCCATGAAAAATTATAGAGTAAGAGTGTTTAGGGTTGGAATGACATGAATGGCAAATGATAGATTATAGCTTAAAATGCAGATTTGGTGCCTTATTCAAATGATGGAAACAGTAGACTACTGCTTGTAGTCTTTGCTCACTAGCTTTGCTAGTGACCTAGCAAAATGGGCAACTGCTTGATATCCTAAGGCAGTTGGAAGGGAAATTAAAACTTAATGAAAGTGTTCATATTCAACATTTACAGGATTCTTCCCTTTTTCAATGAGGAACCCAAGTTTCAGTTAGATTGAATAGCCCCCCACAACATTTTATAGGTGGCAGAGCCAGAATTCACTCTCAAGAGTAATCTGCCTCAAAGCCTGTGTTTTCTCCATGTCTTCAGGTGTGTGGTTTAAAAATTTTCTGCTGCTAGCATGCTATGTGTCCTTGGCCAAGACATTTGACTTTCCTGAACCTCAATTTTCTTTCCTTTTAAAAACAAAGACTTGGATTTGACAGTGGTGTTTAAATCTTTTGGTAGCCATAACTTTTTTAAAAGGATGAAAACTCTGAAGAGATTTTTAAAATGTGATTATGTGTAGCTTTTAAGAGGTATTGAATAAATTGAATAGTGTGAAAACTTATGTTAGAGAAGAATTTGAAAATTCAGGAATTCTTTTTTATTTCAAAATATTAAGGGGGCATAAATGTTTTTGTTATATGGATAGCTTTTATAATGCTTAAGTAAGGGCTTTAAGTGTGCCCATCACCCAAATAGTGTTCATTGTACTTATTAGGTAGGTTTTTACCCCTCCCCATCCTCTCTCTCCCCCTTCTTTATTTCCAGTGATTTTTCACTTATTTCTGTGCCTACGTGTACCCATCAATTAGTTCCAAATTATTAGAAGTAAATGTGGTGTTTGTTTTGAGATACTTCATTGGATAATGGTCTCCAGTTCACCAGCAATCCCACTACTGGGTATCTACCCACAGCAAAAGAAGTCATTTTATCAAAAAGATAGTTGTACTCAAATGTTTATTGCAGCACAATTCACAATTGCAAAGATATGGAATCAACCCAAGTGTTCATCAATTTATGAGTGGATTGACACACACACACACACACACACACACACACACATATATATATATATTTGTTATATATACTATGGATACTACTCAGTCATAAAAAGAAGTGAATTAATATATTTTGCAGCAATTTGGATGGAGCCATGACTTTTAAAAGTGAACTCTTGTTGAAGGCTCCCTGTGTCTCCCAGCTCAGGATGGATACCAAAAGAGTGCTTAGTCTGGGTAGGCAGCAAATGGAGGTGAATTAACACTCAACATGCATTAATAACAATTTGCTGGTAGGTACATGTGGTGCTTGTTTTTCCATTCTTGAGATACTTCACTTAGTAGAATGCTCTATCCAGGAAAATACAAGAGGTGCTACATCACCGTTGTTTCTAAAAGCTGAATAGTACTCCATGGTATACATATACCATATTTTATTAACCCACGCATGTATTGATGGGCATTTGGGTTGTTTCCACAACTTTGCAATTGTGAATTGTGCTGTTATAAACATTCAAGTGCAGGTGTCTTTTTCATAAAGTGACTTTTGATCTTTTGGGTAGATGCCCAGTAGTGGAATTGCTGGATCAAATGGTAGATCTACTTGCATCACTTTAAGGTATCTCCATATTGCTTTCCACAGAATTTGGACTAGTTTGCAGTCCCACCAGCAGTGTAGGAGTGTTCCAATTAATGGATCAACACCTAAGTGGACATATAGAAAAAACATTTATCGGGTGTTGGGTGGGTGGGAGGGGGAGGGGGGGAGGAGGTGATGGGTATATACAAACACAATGAGTGAGATGTGCAACATTTGGGGGATGGTCACGCTTGAAGCTCTGACTCAAGGGGGGAGTGAGGCATGGGCAATATACATAACCTTAACATTTGTACCCCCATAATATGCTGAAATAAAAAAAAAGAAGAAGTGATTAGGCCATGTGGCTCTGCTTTCAAAGAGTGTGTTAGTGCTATCACCTCTGGAGTGGGTGCATTGACACAGGAGTAGGTTCCTTATAAAAGGATGAGTTTGGCCACTTTGTGCCTCTCTCTCTCACCCTCTCTTTGCCCTTTGACACAGGATGATGCAGCAAGAAGTCCCTCACCAGGTAGAAGCCCTTTGATCTTAGACTTCCATGCCTCCAGAACTGTGAGCCAATAAATTTCTGTTTATTATAAATTAAAAAACAAAAAACAAAAAAACACTCAACATGTCTTCAGTCAGTGTGGGACAACTGTTGGTAGACAAATATTTCAGTTTCTTACCTGCAGTGAGACAATTTGTGAAGCATGTTTTGCAATTTCTTCAGAAGGTCCCAGCCAGATGGTGCCCCATTTGTCTACAATGGTAACCCTCTCAATAACGCTTTTATTGCTTTTCCTTCTTTTCCCCATTCCTCTTTGTTCTCCTGGTGGTGCTTCCTGGGTTTGCCTCTCAAGGAAAACACTTGGACCCAAATTCTGGTCTTCTTGAGGAGTGTGGACTAGAATAGGACCCATTGTATAGAGGAGTGTGGACTAGAATAGGACCCATTGTATAAAACAGATTGAAAATGGTAGAAGCAGTCTGGCATGGTCAGTGATCTTGTTCCTCTTGGAAGGTCCTGAAGAATTACTTTTAAAAGGACTTCAATTGAACATGGTAGGGAAATCTCTGGAATGGATGATTCCTGGTCCCCATCCAATTCAAATGCTATCATTTTGTGGGTTTTTATTATTCATTTAAATTCTTAGAACTTGTCCTTGGTAACCAGAAGAAACCTGCAAGGTAATGGTAGGGGAGTAAACTGAAATAGTACTTGAAGATTTTCTAACAGTATGTAAATTGTCATTTTTTCAATTAAAAAATAAGTGGAATCTTTTCTATTTCTAAGCTATTCCCTTAGATAAATCAATTGAGATCTCTGGGCTTCATCTGAAAAATACATTAACTTTTTAATAAAAAAAACTAGGCCAGATGGATTTCTTTTAGCTCCAAGTTGTATGATGTTAAAATTCTTCAGGATATCCAATTTTGATATTTTTAATATACTTTTTCTTATATTCCTTTTCTAATTTTAACATCAGTCTGTGTTCATAGTGGAAAAATTGGAAATTATAGGCAATGTTGATGAAAACAAAAATCATATTTTTTCCTTCTATTTTTAAATTTTATTTGCATAATAGCTATAAATCAACACCTATATAAACATATACATTCATCAATATACTTACAACATTTGAATCATAGTTATAGTTTTATATCATTTGAAAAAACATAACATTATCTCACAATATTTTCCAATATTAATAAATATTCTTCAAACCATCCTATGCTATAATTGATTTAATCCTTTTTCTACTTTTGGACACTGATGCTGTTTCTTATGCATCACCATAATATGAAAAAAGTTGCAAAAATCTTTGCTTGATCTCTGATTTAAAATAAATTCCTAGACATAGAATTACTAGTTCCAAAGGTAGGAGCAACTTTAAATCTCTGAATACATTTTTTCTTCAAAATGTCAGCGTATTCCTACTAGAAGTATAGGAGAGTGACTTTCTTTCCTATTCTTATTTGTTTCCTGTCATTTTAATAGCATTCAATTGAAAAGTGAAACCTGTAATTAACTGGGTTTTAGAAGCTATGCCCAGTATAATTCAAGAACTATATATTCTAAAGCAGCCACTGTGAACACTGCTCAGAGATTACTTAAATTAGCCTTTGCTGTTGATACAGTCCACAATTTAGATTTTTCATTCTTTCCTGTGGAGGACCCAATTAGGTCACATATCACAGAAGCATTGTGGGCTGGTGGAACAGTGGTGAAAATTTTCTTATTCACAGTTTGTTCATTCTAGGTGGAGGCTGAGTTGGCATGCATCCTTCGTGGCACAGAAGAAAGAGAAGGAGAAATGAAAGTATGATACTTCACTTTTGGCAAAAGAATAAAAAAACAACTTAGTGTTTCAATAGCAGGTGGCTGAACATAAACCACAACTATGGAGTTAAAACAAATTTCCTCTACTCTTTAGAAAAAATACTGATCTCTCATTTGGATGTTTTCTTTTTTTTATTATGAGGAAAGTGGTACTTAAAAAGCCATAATCCATTGCTAAAGGCATTAGTTTCCTTTTACAGTTTAGGTGCAAGTGCAATATGCTACGAAAGACATGCTACATTCTTTAATGTTTCTTCTAATAAACAGGGTAGGATCGTGGTCCATGTGAATTTTTAATCCTAGAAGTTGCAGTGAAGAGAGAGATTTAAAACCAGAGCAGGTTCTCAAAACCCAGTTAACGTGGTCCATTATTAAAGGAGACACTTTCCTACATGAGACTAAACATTCAATGATTCTCTCCTTTCAGTTAGGTATTTAAGGAACAGTTTAAGTGAATGAAAAAATATTTTGTGGTATCTGAAAGCATTTGAATGTTTTGGGTGAGAAATTCAATAGCCACCTTTTCAGAGACACTCAGGGATTTTCAGCAATTGGGTGAGAACCAGTAGGCGCATGCCCTGTGGTTAGGTGTACTTTGTAAGCCTCAAGTACTAACCTCTAAACCTCAGTATTTTGTTTCTCCACACCCTCCTTCCCTCATCTGCTCTGTTTATGTGGAAGAAGGCCTGTCGAGTGTGGCTGATCTCTCCCAGCTGTGGCCTCTTCAGTCACCCTAATTTCTTTTCTCCATAGCTCATTTGGACCCAAGCAGTGGTGAAATTGCTGACTGGTGAGTGTGTCCTGCCACAAAAGCCATAGGCAAGATGTGGCCACAACTGAAATAGCATGAAGGATGGAAAACACCATCTGGACTATGCAATTCAAATCACATAAACTTCTCCTTTTTCATTTAAGAAAAATCAGCCATGTAGCCTTTTGTTGCTTTCCACTGTGGCCAGAAACCACTTAGGTTACAATTCTCTGTTAGTGAAAGAAAAAGTCTAAAAGGACTCCAGAATATGTATTGCCCCTTTTTTCAAGTTTTATGTACAGGTTGTTTTTTTTTTTTTTTTTTAGCCCAGCTCAGAACATAGAAAGTAGTTCTTCACTGTACCTCTGTCATCAATTTCCCTGAGAGGGCTCATTGTACTCCCTGGGGATTTGTTTTCCAGTTGTTGGTAGAAAAGGAGAGTTGTTTTCTGCTTAGATGTAGCCAACAACCCAAAAATGAACAGGGAGTTCCAGAGAGTCCATGTTCATATCCACTTGGGGAAAACAAATGTCATAAAACCTCCTTCTGATTCTTAACCAGATTTAGTTATTGTTTGCCTTTTACTCTGCAATGAAAAGCCATAGAGTTATGTTGGTGCATTTTGATAGTAGCATTTTATAACTAACAAGTGATCTGATGACTTTTATTTTAATCAACAATCAAGACATATTCCCTAGCCATGAGGATAATTAAGTAATAGTTTTCTCAGTGATTTGGGTTCATCACAAATGGAATTCATCTCTCTTGAGGATATCAGAGAAGTATTGCCATATAGGCAGAGATCAAGCTATATCAATAACTAGCTCTGTGCCCTTAAGCAAGTCATCTAACTTCTTCTGTCCTCATGTTTGATAGGAGGATTGTGAACTTCTCTTTCTCTGTAAACCCAAACAACTTCCTCCCGAATCTTCAGAATGTAAGTTGGGGAGGAAAGTAATAAATGGCTGCCATTGAATGATGCCTACTAAGTGTCAACACATTCAGGTAATACTTGAAATGCTCTACCTGCATCATTTGCTGTAATCACTAAAGGGAGTAGGTACAATTATTATGTCGATTTTGTAGGTGAGGAAATTTAGACATAGAACATTTAAGAAATTTCCCAAAGCTACGAGTTATTTAAAGGCAGAGCTAGAATAAAAGCTGGGGTCTCCCTGAGACCAAACCTGTCCTGTTCGTAATTGTTGAACATTTATTATGACCACAAAAGTTTCCATATATGAACTCATTTAATCTTTGAAATAACCCTATCAAGTTGGTACATATTTCCTATTATGCAGATAAAGAAATTTCAGTTTAGAAATTTAAGAAACCTGCCAAGAGTGGCATGAAAGATATACAACAGGAGAGCAGGGTCCATTCCCATGTTAGCCTACTTCTGGCAACTAAGTTCTTTCTACTACATCATTTAGATGCCTGGTATACCCAGCTTTGTTAGATAATTAGGTAGCATTTTGTTTACTTTTAAATTTTAGATTTGATTTTAGATTGGCACAGTCAAATTCATCAGGCCAAATGTTAGGTGATATCATGAAAAATATTATTTTCATAATCCCTGGACATGGCCTATTCAAGCTGGACAAGCCAATAGGACAAGTTTAGGTTAATTGCCAGAGCCCAGACAAAACTTTGGAGAACCTAAAGGAGTATGGGGTGCCTGGTGGGGAAGAATGGTATCACTAAGACCAGATCCATGCTATTCATTTGTGTAAAGTGGCCTTTTATAGTGAGATAATTTTAAAAAGTTCCCTTTGGCAAATATAAGTGGATGCTATCTTAAAATCTGGAGATTATTATGGAACATCTGATTTCTGTTTTTCTTTTTGTTAACTTCACAACATATATTTTTAACAAAGGCATGACTATAAGTAGGCAATGCATATGAGAATCTTATCAACTAAAAGGTACCAAAGACAGAGTTTGCAGGATTGGACATAATGGATTTGAATCAACCCAAACATGGCTTGTTTGTCAATAAAGGGAGTAGTATTCATCTAGTTTTGTCAATAGTTTCCAAGCCTAGTAGATCAGAATCATTTGGAGTACTTTAAAAAATTCAGATTACTGGGCCTTCAATTTAGTTATATTGAATATGAATCACTAGGGAGTGTGACCAGGGCATCTGAATTTTCAAAAATCTCCCCAAATTGTTCTGATGTACAACCAGGTTTGCAGAACTACTGAGCTACACTAAGTCTGGCCTCTCAGCTGTCCCTTGAAGAGAGTCTATGAAGAAGAGTGATGATGCTGTTTTCACTTGAGTTGCTAGAAAGAGTTTGTTGTCCTACAGAGGCATCAAGAGGAAAGTCACCTATAAACTCATTTAGCTGCCACTTTGTAAGTCTCAGCCACAGAAAATCTCTGAAATGTGTGATTGTTCTTGGCTTGCTCAAGTGTAATTTCCCTCTTTTTTCTTTTTTTTTTTGAGGGAATAATACTGTAATAATTTAGTCAATGCTTTATATTTTCTGTGGTTAGAGGAAAACTGGAATAAACAAAAGCTCTTGCTTTCCATTCTGAAAGTATGTCAGATTTCTTTTGTGAAAAACTTGGGTCACAATGTACTCCCAGAAAAATTAAACATTTATTTTCATGAATTTCTTTGAAAAATAAGTGTTTTTTTTTTTAAATAGAAAATGTGAATTTTATTACAAGCAAAAACTCAGTCTGAATCCCATGTAAATGTTTCATGCTATTCAAAAAAATACATAAAATAGTCAAAAACTTATTGATATTACAACTATTTATCTAGGCAATAAATCCCTCTGACCCAGAAATTTTCATGTTTGAATTCAGATGTTATTTACTTTTGTAATAACTGTGCTTATGTTTTTTCTCTTGCTTAATCAAGTTTTGTAATTGTATTCTTTTTTATCTCTATTTTGTAAAAAATTTCAGAATATTATGGGGGTACAAATGTCTTGGTTACATGGATTGCTTTTGTACTGCTCGAGTCAAAGTTATAAGTGTGCCCATAATCCAGATAGTATACATTGTGTCCATTAGGTATGATTTCCCATCCGCTGGTCCCCCTTCCATCTTCATGATTTCTGCTGAGTTTTACTTCC